ACTTATATTTTTTTAAGTATATTGATATTTACAAATTATTTATTAAGTTATTAGTTTACCCATAAATATTCTAATAATATTATTAAGATTAATTCATCAATATTATTATAATTAATAATAATAATAATAAATTAATATAAGCTTATATATATTTGTAGTCTCTCAAATTTAAGATAACTTTGATTTTAGTCTCTCAAATTTAAAACTGTTATTTTTAGTCTTTATAATTTTAAAAAAAATATTTTAATCCTTGTGCTCAAATTTTGTTATGAAATTTGTAAAATATTGATACATAAAATTTACCTATTAGTATCTATATTAATGAAAATATCATATTAAACCAATTGATATTACATAACTATTTTAATTTGTCAATTTCAAATATGTTATTAGTGATTTAAGGGATTAAAACAGAATTTTAAAAAATTACAAGGATGAAAAATAATAGTTTTAAATTTGAGAGATCAAAAACAAATTTTTCTTAAATTTAAAGGACTAAGAACATATTGAAGCTTGCAATATAATATAAGTTTATTGGCCATGTATTTTTAGTGTAAAAGTTTTTACACTATCTATTAACTAAAAATTACTATTAATATGACTTTTAAGATAAATTTGTAGAAGTTAATGAGCTTGTCATAAATGATAGTTTGTGATTAGATGAGTGTAAAACTATTTTACAATGTCCTATTATAATATCACTTTCAATTTTTTATTAAGTAATTTTCTTATTTAGTGGTTAAGTGTCGTTATTTGAGGTATGAGTGAAAAGTTCAATTCTAATCTTTCATGTTTTGACAATTTGTTTTCTCTTATTTTCACATGAGATAAGGTTTTAAGCCTATTTTGTATTTTAGGATGTGCAGTGAACATGATAAGAATTTATTTTATATGCTTAAAGTTTATATAAATAAATACTTTTGAAATATAAATTACATAATAATGAAAATTTATAATAAAAAATTTTTGAAACATGTAAATTATATGAAGTTGTTTAAACTTGTACATTATAATATTTTATGAAGTTGTTTAAACATGTACGGTATAATATTTTATGAAGTTGTTGAAATTTGTAAGGTTTTCTTTTTTTCTTTTTTCTTTTTTATAGAAACTTGTGAGGGGTTAAAGAGTTGTCTTAATTACCTTTAATATTTGACGTTAAATATTGGCGTAGCTAAATTAAATATACTAACGTAGCATTTTACATGGAAACTTAATAAGGGTATTTTGATTGTGTTTTTAATTTTTATTTTTCAAATAATATACTTCATATTTTTTATAAAAAAAAAAACTAATTTTTAGAGTATAAGAATGGGAGAAGTAGATATAACACGGCTGAGAAAAATGTCTATAATAAAATAAAATAAAAACAATTCAGAGATTTTCTGATTTTTTTTATTTTGAAAATATGAAAAGTTATGTAATTTTGAAAAATGTTTTCAAAAAGAACTAAAAAAATCTAAATGCATCATTTTATAAGTCTTATATTTTTTTTATTCTATTTACATTAAATAAACTTGCATATTACATTTTTCCCCATTTATATGATTTATGATGAATTATCGCTCTGCATAAAACAGTAAAAAAAAAAAAAAGATTTCATTTTTTGATAGGCAAGTAAAGCAAATCTCTAAAGTAAGTAATAAAATAAAACATTAGAGATGTTTTAATTTGAATTCATGTAAAACTTATAGTCTAAAATGAATTAGTCTAGCTGTGCAACGGTAAATTAAGTAGCTATTTATGTTCTTGGGCGAATTTGTTATGCAAATCAATGTTATCCATCGTTCAATAAATATGACGAAGACCAACTAACTTTGAAAATTGTCAGGTAAATAAAAACATGATGGCGGATTCTTCACGAATACTGTCATATTGGTTGGGTAAAGTTTGGTAACTGTTTACTACTGTACCTAAATTACGTTGTTCCTTAGAGGTAGAGATATACAGTTAGGTATATCCATCTCTTGTTTCTCCTCATTAGTTTTAATGGACGATTCTATCTCCTGGTGAGTTGATGTCAATATTGTTAGGTATACTTTCTTTATTACCAATGAGTTAATTTCACACTTCTTAGGGTTCCATTATCACTGTTCCCCCACTTCTTCATCAATATCTCCCTTGGTTTAGACATGGTGAATTACATTGAGTCTTGATATTTTGGCACCCCATAAATATGAGCAAATCATTAAAATATTTTATTTTTCTTCTTATCACATCACATTATTCATCATATTTCTCTAAACTTTTTATCTCTTTTCAGATATAGACAATATACGTATATTTTCCCAATTACATTCGAATAAATTTCTCTTTGAACACCTACGAGAGGAAAAAAAATTTGATTTTTTTTTTTGAAATTAGTTCTCTTTCATAAACTAAAATTAGACTATGTATAAATTATTTTATAAAAAAAAATCATATGAATTTTTCCAAAAGCTAATTTTAACCTATACAAGAAACTTGTTTTTATGTCTCTTTCTTATTTTATTCACTCAAAAATGAAACTCAATTTGAACCTTTAATAGTTTAGTTGAGTCGAATAAATTTACCAAGTGACATGATAAATATTTTTTAAAATTTATTTATCATAAATATTGTTATATTGTCAATGAACTAAAAATCATGTTAAATATGACATAAAATTATTATTATAAAAGTTGACATATGTAACTGAATGACAATTAAACTTTTTTATATTGTCAATATATTTAAATTAAATATTTTATTTATTTGTTTCATTAATAAAACCTAAATTTAAAAACATTATTATACTCTGATTAAGAAAAATCAAGTTGTTTATTACTTAAACTCAAAAGCGTACGTAAAACAAATTTAGATATGCAAACTAAACTTCAATAAAAACTATAATGTATGTGTCAATTAGAATAAGCTTTATATATTTTAATAAATTTTTTATATAATAAAGAAAATGTCTAACAATTTTCGAGTTTGAGCTTTGTGCTAAAGAAATCATTACAAAACGTACTTGACTTAACTACGCCCACACAATATATGTATGATTTTTGACAATTATTTTTTCTTCATCAGAAAGAAGAAGAAAAATGGTTTCTATTTGGATAAGCAAGGGATTTTAGCTAGCGGTTATATAACATCATAGTACGTACCATCAACCACACATACTGCAGTCGTTGTTCCTCTAGACATCTCCTGCTTTAACTCTGTCTCATGACTCCTCTTGCATGTTCTCCTCCACTTCTACACACCATTAAATTTGACATCTAATTTCAATTAATCACCACCCTCTGTATTTCTTTTCCCTCTTCAATTCCTTCCTATCTCCTTAAGTTCGCTCAATATATATAACTACCCTCGCACACCCTCCCAAAGCGAATAACATCACCTCACTTTGTTTTAGGTTGTGAAGAGAGATGAGCAAAAGAGCAAGGAGTCCAAGGTTGGAGCTGAGGCTGAACTTGTCCCCACCAAGGGCAGGAACCTCGGTGTCTTCTTTCGATATGTCAGAAGAGGAGTCATCGTCGTCGGTTTCTGTTCAGTCGTTGGAGAGCTCGTGTGTGTCTTCTGAGGCTGAGGAGACAAGGGCCATGCTTCTTGTGGGTTGTCCTCGGTGCCTCATGTATGTTATGTTATCCGAGGTTGACCCCAAGTGTCCCAAGTGCAAGAGTACTGTCTTGCTTGACTTCCTCAGCAATGAGGAAAACACCAAGAAGAGTAGCAGCGAGTGAGATGTGCATACTCTCTAGAGAAATTATTAGGTAGTTCTAAACTACATGTTCATAACTAATCTCTACTTATATATCATATAGAGATTAGTCAGAACTGTGGATACTTTTTAGTCCGTAATTTCTCCGTTCCGTGACCACCAAGAGTAGCCATTCCAACTTGCTAGTTCCCTAAAAGGTTGTTTATTATTGTTGGATTTTCCTTCGCTAGTTAATTAGAGTAGCTAGAATTGGCATTTTCCTCTTCAGTTTTCTCGTGAAATTTGGCTGTGTTGCTTACGCCACGTGTGTGTACAAGACAAATTAAGGGGAGACAGTTTCAGTTTAAGTTTTTATGCATGGAGGATTTTTCTTCAATCTTATCCTTCTTAATTATCTGACCTTCAAGTTCTGTTGGCTTGGATAATGCTTTATATAACTATTGAGGAAAGAAAGTCAGAACCATACAAAATGCAAAATGTTTTGCTTTGGATAATCCTTCAAATGTAACGGATAAATTAGGATGTTCAGACCGGTAATTTGTTTGGTGAGATGATACGTGGAAAATAATGAGGTATACAATTATAATGAATTTATCACAAAATGACCAGTTTTTTTTTTCTTCTAAAAATTATGGTGAATTTAATTCATCATTAATTTTTTTTATCTATAAAAAAAAATTTACGCAAACACGATAAAGATCAAATTTAGTTCTCTCGCATTTACTCCGATCATTAAACTAACCTTACTGGCACCCAATTTAAACACACTATAACTTAACATCAACATAATTATTTGAAATGTTAGATATACATAAAGCATTTTTCATATCACTTAAAAAATTTATAAAAAAAATGGCCATAAAATTTAATGATGAAATTTAATTGTTTTTCACTAATTTTAGAGTTGAAAAAATGTCTATATTATTTTTTTAAAAAGTATATTTAAATTATTTTTCATACCAAATATCACTATTTTTGATCCTATTTATTAAAAACAAATTGTAGTATAAAATACACTATAACTCTTGTTTCTTATAAAAAGTACTGTTATTTTTCTTGTAACGATATAATTAAAGGTAACTTTTTGAGAAGAGACAACTATTGAGATGATAAATGATATTGATATAATTTTTTATCATTTAGTACACTATTCCTTCCGTTTTTTATTTATAGTCATTTTGAAATTATTTTTTTTATTTTTTTTATTGTCACTTTTTTTAAAATTAATAACTTATTAATTTTCTTTTTCATTTTTACTCTTGATAATTAATGTATGTTAACTAAACAATGTCATGTGAGTGGGTTGTGTATGTACAGAGTGAGTTAAAAAATTTTTATAACATAGTCGGTTATTTTCATGTATTTTTCCTGTACTAAGCAAGGTCAACAGTATTTTCTATTCTCTTCGACTTCATGTGCATCAAACACAAAAGTAAATTTATGAGATTTTAAATATTTTATATTTTATTATTAATTATTTTCATTAGTTTTCAATTGTTCAGAATAAGAAATCATGAACATAGTCACGAAAATGGGTTATAATTTCTGAAATCTTAAAGTCTGATGATGAAATTTTAAATTTGATAAAAGAAAATTGAACTTCTTTAATGACATTGGTGTGTGTGCCTCTTTAATGGCCTTGCATTGCAACGGCAAGCAAGTTAGGTTAGCGGAAAATAAAATAAAATTATTGTGAGTGGTGTGAGGACGGATCTGGATTCTCTGACTTTGGGGAAAGAAAATAAACTAATTATATCTTTTAATTGTGTCATGTCACTATAAACACATTTACTTTTAACAGTGACATGACACAATTAAAAAATATAATTGGTTATCAGTGAAAAAAACTTTACATTAATAGTGTATAGATGATTAACTCCTCGACTAAAGAAAATGAAGTGTGAAAGTTAAAGTAATCAAGTTTTAAAATTCAATTCTTCATATTTTTATTTTAAATTATAACAATTCTCTTTAATGATATGTAATTTATTTCTGATTAGATATTTTATTTTTAAATTGTAATTACTTCTCATCAGATTTGTAATATAAACAATTAATTTTAAGATTTTATATTTTATTATAGATGACAATATTTTTATGTTGTGAAATTAATTGAATTTAATATAATAAAATTTAATTATGTGATATTAAATTTGATATCAAGATCATAAATTAAGGAGATTGAATCTAGATCTTCTCACTTTTATCCTACTTCCACCTCCCAATTATTAAGCTAATTCTAGTAATCAGATATATTTATTTTATCTAAACTTAAAGATTATTGATAAATTTATATTATTAAATTTTGAATATTTAATTAATGTGTGATATTCTTTATCATTTGAGTAGTTTAATCATTAACATAAATTTTTTGAGATTTTATGTATTTACATCTAATTGGAGCAATTAGCATCACAACATCACATTTTAGAGTTTATTTTTTAAGGGAGAAGATAAAACAATACTATATTTCTTTCTAATTATAAAATCCTTTCAACTAAATCACTTCATCCTTTAAAAAAAATAGTTAATTTAATTAAAAACATTAAACTTCTCAATAATCTAAATAACTTTTTTAAAATTAACATTTTTTTTCACTTAATCATTTATCACCTAATTAATTAATATTTAGAAGAGATAAATTTATGTGTCTATTTATCTTCTCCAATCTTATTAAGAGAGAGTTTTATCCAATTAATCTTAAATATTTATTATCTTTTTTTAAATTACAGGATTAAAAAGATTAATTTTAAATTTGAAGGATTAAAAATAAATTTACTTTAAATTTGAGAAGTAAAAAACTTATTTAAATTTTATTATTTTATGATAATTATTATTGTTTAATTTTTAATTTTTATTATTGAAATAATAGAAGGGAGAATTTAATATTGTTTTAATTATTGGAAGGGATATAATGAGTAGTAGTAAAGTTCTAATCGAAAATGTGAGTGGGTTGTGTATGTACAGAGTGAGTTAAAAAATTTTTATAACATAGTCGGTTATTTTCATGTATTTTTCCTGTACTAAGCAAGGTCAACAGTATTTTCTATTCTCTTCGACTTCATGTGCATCAAACACAAAAGTAAATTTATGAGATTTTAAATATTTTATATTTTATTATTAATTATTTTCATTAGTTTTCAATTGTTCAGAATAAGAAATCATGAACATAGTCACGAAAATGGGTTATAATTTCTGAAATCTTAAAGTCTGATGATGAAATTTTAAATTTGATAAAAGAAAATTGAACTTCTTTAATGACATTGGTGTGTGTGCCTCTTTAATGGCCTTGCATTGCAACGGCAAGCAAGTTAGGTTAGCGGAAAATAAAATAAAATTATTGTGAGTGGTGTGAGGACGGATCTGGATTCTCTGACTTTGGGGAAAGAAAATTATGGTAATTTAATACATCTTAACCGTTGAATGTATAAAAATAAATCAGATTGTGACACGTGTACAATATATATTTTAACTTAAATGTACACGTGTCACAATCTGATCCTTTATTACAAATCTAACGGTTAAAATGTATTAAGTTACCCTAACTTTCCCTCCACAAGGTCAGGGGATCCATTTCCGTGTGAGGACGTGGTTCAATGAGATTTTGGATTAAATATTAAAGACAAGAAAACATAAACTAGGCGTTTAAAGCAAGTTAACCTAGGTGAGAGCTTGGAATGTACCAAAGAGTTCCAAGGACCACTCTCACATGTACTAAACGAAATTACCTACTTGAAAACTCTAAGGAGAGATGGAGATACACCAAAGGCACTCCAAGACACTCCTAATAAAGGCCTTGTACAAGTTAAGAAAGAAATGAAAAATTTCAAGAAATGGAATGTAAATTTACACCAAATGAAATGCAAATTTCCACCAAATGAAAGGTAAATTCACACCAAATGAAATGCAAATTCACACTAAATGAATGCAGTGGCTGCACCTAATTTAAAAAAAAAACAAAATTCAGCCACTAAGTTAGTGACAAATTTAGAGACGGATTTGGTGTTGAAATTTTTTTTTGAAATGAAATTTCGTCACTAAATTGGTTACTAAATTTTTCACAAAATTTTCACAAAAATTTTATTATGTTCTTCCAAGCTTCTCCTTGTTGCAGCAACCTCTCCAAGTGTATCTCTCCTCTCTTAGGAATAACCTTGATGTTGGTTATTCCTAGGTGTTTGACTCCCACCAAGAGCTTTCCACCAAAGAGAATATCAATCTCCTAGGCTTCCACAAACACTTCAAGATGCTACCCTTGTACTTGGCTTTCCACACCTTCAAAGAGGAACTCGACACACCTTAAGTTGCTAAAGTTATATAGGAAAAACTGAAAAACCACAATTTAGAAAGTCTACACCAAATGGTAGAATTAAAGAGACAAGACTAGAAAGAGTTCCAAAAATTGACAAGCAAAAATTAAGGCACAAATGAAAGGCTAGCATACAAAGGAAAACCTAACAATGGCCCTAGAATGGATTACAAAATTAAAATCTAAGATTAAGAAATGAAAACAAGACACTAATCTCAAGTGTATAGGGCTGGACAGTTTTAGAAACATGCAACAATAAGCAAAAACCGAGAGCAAAACAACACAAAATTTTCACTCCTTTTGGCTTTTTCTTTCTTTGGTTCTTTCTTTTGCAATTTTCTTTTGTATAATTTTCTTTTTCTTTTTATTTCAAACAACCAGGAGTTAATGCCTTTTAAACATTGCAAGAGAGTCAGATTTAATAAAGAAAATTGTTGCCAAATATTTCAACAATCAACAAGAGGTATTCAAGTGTGTGTGTGTTAGAAGTGCTCACACTTTTGCACAATTTTTGAGTAATTTTTTAGGAACACTTTCCTTTAATTTTTATCACACTTTTAGAACACTTAAACCTCTATTTTCTCTGTTTTGAAAGATTCAAAAATAAGCACAAGTTTCAGCCACACAAGAGATTCAAGGAACACCTACTAGGAAAGTGTTTTTGAAATTTTCTTGACAAACTTTTTAAGGAAACATAATAGAAACCTAACTCTAAGAAATTTGCTAGAATTAATAGCAAATTAGGAACTCAAATATGTAAAACAAAAGCACATATAGGTCAGGTACAAAGAGTATATAAATTGCACAAAACGAATTGATCAAAAACAACACAAAAACAAAGGTTAAACAAGCTAGTCTAGGAATTAATGACATGTAAAGGACTAAACATCACTCTAGACAAAACACAAGATTATAAACCAAAAACACATGTTATTCATTATCATAATCCAATCACAGATTCAGGTCATAAGGAATAAGAGAAGACTCAACAAAATAAAAAACGTACAAGTTCATAGAAACCTAAAGCACCAAAACCGGATTGATTCAAGATTAATGGAACAAGCAAA